GCCCGGCTGCCTGTTTCCCTACGCTGCTGCCTCTGATACAGGGGCAGAAGCACAGACCAGCAGCAGCCCGTGGCTAGGGATGGCTGAGCTCCCAGACCTGACGCAAGCTGAAACTGAGCCGGACTGCCTGCCTGGCTCCCAATACCCTTTAAAATGTAGAATCACAGCAGATGTAGGTCCTGGATATGGCATGAGTGAGGACTGAGCAGGGCTCCGGCCAGCCTGCTAAAAAAGTTTACGGTTGGGGGATAACAGTCTACAACATTAACTGATAAGCAAAAGCTTATCAATTAATCGACTAAACTATTACATCCCTGTACCATATATATGAAGACTGGCAATTACTGAAGAATAATTTGATTAGAGACTCAGCTGATTTTACAATATTGTATAATTAATGGGCTTCACTTATCAGGCCTACCAATGCAACCACTGAATTAAAATCATATCTAATCCTTTAATTCAGGGTCTTCAGAAAGTTAGTTTAACCTATGAATTGTTTTCATTTACAATATTGCAGTTTAAGGTTAAGAGAAGTTGTTAATTTTTTACTCTTAAAGAATTTTTTGTCTTGCTGTCCAATTTCTGTTCTCAAAGGGAACATCTGCCATTGTATAGAGACAGCAAGAGGCGGCATTTAATATACCTGGAGAAAGAAAATGGGGTCCTACCAGTCAGAAAACTGGCAAAAAAGGAAGGAAGTGGGGAAGGAGAAGTGTCCAGAAAATTTCTTCCTGGCTTTTCCACAACTAAAAAAGTATCCTCCTGTGGCAGCCCCTAACTGGCCAGGTTCATCCAATACAAAGCTCTAACTACCTCTGTCCAATAAACAAAGGGCAACTAATCTACAAGGAATCAGCTGTTATGATGTAGGAGGCCATAAAATATTAGAAGTCTTTTGCTTGGACAATGTCAATTTATCAATAAAAATGATACTGCTGCTTTTTCTATGTTCATTGCTATGCCAGATATTAGAATTACAGCAGACATGCTATTTAAGCTTTCCTTTACAGGTACAAAACTTACCTTTGTCCTTCCTCTACAAAGTAAAGGGAGGTTACCCCACTGTCCTGGCCAGATCCTTTTGTAAAATACCTTGCCAGTGAAGTGCTCAAGTCAACAAGCTCTTCTTTATTTAATTTCTAGAAGTACAAATTTAAAGGAAAATGTGATGATGTTTGGTTATTTTCCAACATTAAGTTTTACTTATTTGCTTGTCTGTTGAGAGGCATCTCTCAAATGGAAATGTTGTCTAGGAATAAAAAAATATTGAATGATTCTAATTATTGATATTACACTGACAGTTTGAGTTTTATAAAAGTCATGGGGCTATCAGTGGGGTTAACTAGTGGGCCCTCCTTATTCCAGCATGGTCTATGTAAAAAGCCCAAGACCTTCCTCTAGAAGACCATTCTCCCAGATTCTGTAGGAGAGTGGATCCTAGTTATTAGGCTAGTGGTGGGCTACATGTGGCTTTAAGTCCCCTTTCTGCCCTTCCCCTTCCCCAACCCCAACACCTCTCACACTCTGGAACCCTGCACTTCCTACTTTTCCCCCTCCCTCCCAGCACTTTGAGGATCCTGAATGGCAGATTCATGCTCCAGCCCCTACTCTCTCTGAGCTTCGACACTGAATCAGCCATACATAGCTGTTAAAGTTCTGGAAGGGAAGGGTTTGAGGGGACAGTGTGAATTAGATTTATGATGCTCCTAGAGTGCTGGAAGGGAGGGGTAATAGGAAGGCTCTAGTGCCCCAATCCACTCTTCTACCCTGCTCCTGTCCATCTCCCTTTACTCCTGCCCATTCCAAACCCTACACCCTGACCTACTGCCCTTAACTCTTTTCTTGGTCCCCTTTTTCCTCTCCCCTGTGAATTTGAGTCAAGCAACTCCTTCTCCATGTTGCAGGGGCAACAATGGCATAGGGGTAATAAGAATATTGTTCGTTTTGTGCCCTTGTACTAGAGTGGTCCCTGACAGTCAAGAGAGCAATTCCAGAAGTCCTGCTTGACCCAAGATATAAAATGTTCAACAGCTCTGTGAGGATGAATATTTTCTATCCAGGTGACATGTAGGAGCTCTGAGCATATATGAATTGAGATATTTCAGAGGTTTGCAGGCTGGACAATTTTGAACAAAATCATCATGGATGACAAATGCATAGCTGTAATACTAGGGCAAACCACCTGCCAAATATTTCAAAACTTTGCTCCAAATTATGTCAACTATGGAGCATCTCAATGCAACGGTTTTAAAATCTAAAAAAGGTAAAATGTTTTCCCAAACTTACTTTTGGAAGTAGCTGAAACATTTTAATCTGTAACTTAAGCATGGTAAAGATATATGCAACTTTTAAAAAAGCCTCTTTCAGAGAAGCACTGCACAATCTTAACTGTAGATATATGTAATGCATACTTGTGCTTCGCCTAATTTGTGCGTGTGTGTCAATACTTCAGGCAGAGATTCCATACACAAAAAATTTGACAGTCATGATTACCCCCCCCCCCTTTTTTTTTTAAAAGGAAAATGAGTCCTTTCTTCTTAAAACCATACATTGAGAGTTCAAAACCATATATTTTTCCTATAACTCACAAATAATTATCAGAATACAAATATAGTACTACTATCAGAACTTTGGACAGGTAAATAAATGTGTTGCTTTTCGTTACACTAAGGGTTGTTTTTTTTTTCCCCTTAGATTATAAAAAGCTCTAGTACCTGAGGATTAAAATAAACAATTGCCATGATATGATCATTTTTGCTGGTGCGGACAGTGAGCTGCTTCCAGTGGCCTTCATAGGTTTCCGGACTGTACACAGAGTAAGGGGTTGACCTGCAATTTTCAAAATCTGAGTGACCAAATAAAAGAATAACCTCTGCATGATGTTTAATAATTCAGCTAAGTAAAACAAATTCACTGTACAATAAGGTAGAAGAAAAACTTATTCAAATTGAAAGATTAGTTTTGACCCTTATTGAGGTCTCAAAAAATATACCGTTAACTCAGGACGCTCTGGCCTGCAGCACCTATGGGTCTGCCATATATCTTAATTTATTCAGGGACTGAACATATAACTTTCAATCTTCATCTGTAGTTCCAGTCAGGTTACTTGGGTCTCTCCCCTTTCACGGCTGAAAGGAATAGGACTTTACTCAAAGTTCTTTCAACCTCTTTAGCAGGCATTTGCTAAGTAGTCCCAGAAGTTTGGCCCTTTGTCTGGGGGTATGTATAAATTACATCCTTTTTTCAATAAAGGGATCAAATTAGACATATTGAAATTGTAAATTAAGCTGGGATTTGAATTTCCTGCATTTCACTTGCAAAATGGAGGCCGCAGCTTTTTTTTGAAAAAAAAAAAAAAAAAATCTGTCAAAAGATACCCCGGAAAAGCAGCTTTTTAGAAAAATCCACAGCCACCATTATGCAAGTGAAACATGGAAAATTCAAATCCCAGCTTCATTTACAATTTTGATGGGTCTAATTTACATCCCTTTATCGAAAAAGGGATGTAGTTTAGACATACCCTAAGGGTTTCTCCTAACCTCTTTCTGGGTTTCTTCCCTACTTTCTTCCAAAGGGCAGAAGTAAAATAAGTTAAAGCAGGAACACAAAGCCAGTATTATTATTAACAACACACAGGTAAGGGTTCTCAGTGGTCCTACTCCCATCTGTATGAAGGTGGCAGGGACACAGGCCTATGCTCTCTTCTGTGTCACAGCCCAGCCCCTGGGTAGTACAATACAGGACTTGTTCATTTAAATCTTTGAGCGCTTTCTCACTCTGGGTCTTTCAGGTACCTCCTGCCTGGTAAGCTTTTCCTGACACCTTCTGGGAGAGAAATTGGTTTCGGAGTGGCTTCTTCACATCTCACTCTATGGAGTCCTTTCACTGTGACACTCTCTGTTCTGGCTAGGCTGCAGGCTTTTATCTCTTTTTTAGCCTGCCCAGCGGGAGGTGACGCCTCCCTTTTCTAACCCTTTAGTATCCATTCCCTCGAAGCATTTACACACCTAATCACAATACACTAAAGCTAAAACTCAAATGGTGGCCCCGATCATCACTCTTAATGAATTAGATGTCTTCCTCCCTTCTTGCTTTCTTGATTCCCAGCTAACTCCCTTTTTTTTGTTTTATTAAATAAAACAGATCTCAATGTCTTCCTTTGACAGTGTTCAGATCACACCATTGCCCCTTTTAAGCATCTCATATGCTTCTAGGATTCTGCCCCATCTCTATTGTCAGTTCAAAATATTTTCCCCCTTTTCCAGCTGTTTAAGGAGGAATCTCACATTTTCATCTTTGTACCTTCCTTCAGGCTGACCTTACATGTTGAAGCCCTCTCCCCCGCCCCACTTTCAAATATACCAAACTATCACGCTGTCATTCAAATTCCTCTTTAAAATACTTGTCTCTTTTCTGTCAACAATATCAACCTATTACAAATAGAACACAAGGAAACTTTTAAGAGAAAATATTTTGCCTTATTCTGAGATTGGACCTTAATATTTTTATTTAGTACTGCCTGTCCATCTTATATGCTAAGTATCTTACGGCAGTAACTGTCTTGTATGTACTGTGTAGTGCTGAACATACTGAAGAAATTTAAGAAAAAAAACACATAAGCCACATTTAAATATAGAATACAGGTGGGACCTTCCTGGTCTGACACCCTTAGGACCGGAGCGGTTCCCCTCCTGGCCCCGCTCTCCCCTGCTGGCCACACTGCCCCCGGTCATGCTGGGGCGGTACTCTTGCCTCGGGCTGTGCTGCTCACCTGGGGGGGGGGAGGGGGGACAGGAGGGGAGAGAGAGAAAGAAGAATCTAAGCTGCTATCCCAGATGCCAGCCCCCAATGTCACTGGTGTGGCCAGAGCTGCATTCCCCACCACACCAGCCGAGCCCCTGAACCTGGCCAGCTGGGGCTTTTTGGTCCAGCAATATCCACGGTCCAAATGTTGCCAGACCAGAGTCCCAGATTTCAGAGGTGTATAGAAGGGTTGCTTCAGAACTGGATCCATTTGTTTAAGTTTCATTCTAAAAATAACCATCCAGCTTTTCAAAGTATTTCATTTTGTACATGTTTAAAAATATTAAGCCATTCAGTCTAATTCAGTTCTTACCTTATGTAGTCTTGAAAAGCCTTCACTACTTTTTTGGCAACAGCAGGAA